CGGGGTTCGATTCCCTGAGGTAGACAGAGCAGATAGTCCAATACGGCGTTTCTCTAAAACATACATTTGTTACGTCTCTGTATGTTTGTTTGTTTATTCTTCTAGGATACAAGTCATTTCTTCAATAAAACTTGTTTATTCTTCCTCAATACAACTTTGTAATACACTTAATTTTCACAGTTACACACACTATAGTTCACAACAATTCATTCACTTTCTACCGCGCTTGACTTAATTGTCCGTCTCCTCCTGTCAGAAACTATTGTTCTGATCTCTGTATCTGCTGTCCTCGGTTTCCGCCGACCGTAACCGCTGTCCTTGGTCCCCCCCCCCTCTCTCTCTTTCTCTCTGCCTTTGCTTCGTCTCTGTCTAGCGCACTTATACACGATTCTAGAATCTTCTAGGCTCTCAACACGTGCTAACAGCGTCACTTGACTTCCGCTGTCGTAACACACTAGCGAATCTTCTAGAATACTCGTCACGTGACTCCCGCTGTCGTAACAATACAGACAAACACAATATGTGTACTTTGTGCTGAATTACAAACAATTAAACATTTCAAAGCCTTAAACATTTCTTTAAAATTTAGTTTCAATTAAGATTTTCACGAAAGTTTGTTTCCTTCAAGTGTAACTCTGATCATGGGCTACCTACTTATATATATTTGTTTGATTCTCCAGTCAAGAGTTTAACACTGAAAATATGGGTAAAAACAAAGGAATTCTTCTATCACTCTTGAGATTCCAAACAAAGTCACTATAAAAGCTGTGTCGCTGTTTGTCCCGCGGGGGATTTTTACCCCTATCCTTAATATCAGGCATGAACTTGACCTTCAAATAAGGACAACAACAGACTTAGAGACAGAATGTTATAAAGGAGTGATTGTTTTAAGCTTTGGAATAGTTATAAAAATTATTTTAAAAATGTTAGGTGTGTTGTATTGTTGGTGAAATCCGTTCGTATAGTTCTGAGAGGGCTAATTTTAATTTATTGGCGGGGTCGTCACCTATCTAGTACCTGCGCGTTTTCACTCTTACTGTACCTAAACACAATTCCAGGAAGTACACAAAACTCCAATCAGTGTTCCAAGAAGACCAACATTCGAAACCGAATGCAATATGTCTCCCCTGATAATCCTTATTACAATAGATTTCAAGAGAGAATATGTGTTGAAAGCAGGGGAAGGGGTTACAACGTATGTACGTCACAAGTAACATAGTAATCAACTTGAGGCTTCATTGTAACAAATATGTACTGCAACATAATGAATATTGTTACGACAGCGGAAGTCACGTGACGCTGGAAACATGTGCTGCGTTTCTAGAAGGATCGGGGAACATCACGAATAATCCAGTATTTGCTAGACGCCCTCTATTCCTGTGTATAAGCGCGCCAGATAAAGCGAGACAATTAATCAGGACTGGAATAGCAGACAGAGAGATTGAAGATATAGACAGATAATTGAGTCAAGCGCGGTAGTGATCATAAGAAAAGTGCGTGAATCGTTCTGAATTATAGCGTGTGAAAGTGACTGTGAAAATTAAGTTAATTAAGTTAATTATTGCAAAGTTGTATTGAGATAGAATAAACTAGTTTTCTTTAAGAAAGGACTTGTATCGCTAAAGTTTCATCCGAAAGAAATTATACGGAAATTAACAAACGACCAGAGACGTAACAATATGTTACAAAACTCAGGACAGTCAGTTTCTGCGTCAGTGACAAAAACTTTAGAGATATATATATATATTTGGCAAAGTAAAAACAAATATTTGTTTTAAAGCAAAGACACAGTGAACTATCTGCTGTGTCCACCGCGGGGAATCGAACCCCGGATTTAAGCAAAAACAAATAAGACCAATTCTTTACTAAAATGTACCCAATCTAGCTACAGAGATCCCTATTATAGACATTTAATATTGTTGTTGTTTTTATCTTTAACCCTTGTAAAATGGAACTGCACGAATCAAATGTGTTTTCAATTTCTAGGCGCTGTCGCAAGATGTAGTTGTGAAAATTCTCATTTGAAGTGGTGGAGAAAAATAAGAAATGGCAGGATAGAAATTCTTAATTTTGTGTTTTTATTTTTACATTATTTTGGAATCCAAAACACAACTGTGCCTGCTTTAGTCCGTAGGGTCAACAACCCGTGTTCAATACCCGATAAACCCACATCAAAACTTATACATTTCATTCTCCTAATAGTAACATTTACTAAAAATAATTAACATTTTCACAGTTACTTAGATTTTGAAGGATTTGTAATAGAGTATTTTCTTATTAATGTAGAACTTTATTGTTGAAAGTTTATCTAAGCTTAAAACAATAATATTAGGGACGATTAACATTACACTCTTTAAAATTGTTAGAGTAAAAAATAAAACTTTTTTTTGTTCTGTTAAAAATACGTTACTACAGCTAGACCGCTCGTGCTATGTTACACACCACGTGGCATGATTAGCTTATTATTCTTATTATTTTTAAGTGGTACGTATAATGGTAAGCCGAATAATTAAGTCGTTATATTCCATCTCCGATTATAATGATATAGAGGGCGCTGATACTAGTTATTTAAATTCGTTGATCTAAATGAGCACGCAGATTAACATGAATTTTATCACCTTCTTTAGGTATTGTTTCAATAATTATTAATTTTATTACCCGTCCATAGTTTCTGTCTCGTTATATATATATATACTTAAATTAGCACCTTTCCTGATCACGTGATTTATGAGGTGCTATATTGGCATGCGCCATTTTGGACGTCAGGCAGTCCATTGTTTCGTATAAGCGGTAACGATAAAGCTTAAAGAATATGCTTTGAATATTGAGGAATATGACAAAACTGCTCATGAAAATAAGATGGGAGGACTCTATCTGGATGATTCTGTTGGGTTTGATCTACATATTAATCCACGGGTTGCCTGGACGACG